AAACATCTTTAATCTCCATCTTCAGTCTAAACGGATGCCAGATCCAGCTATTCAGTCGTTCAGTAAGTAGAACTTCTACCGGTATGCATATTTAAATATACAATATACCAGGACATGAAGCGGCGGTGGCAACCAACTTAGATGATTTAAATGTATTAGATTAATTCTTAGGGGATAAGGCTATCAATGACTATTAGTTATGATAAGTGTATGTTGCTTCCTGTATTAGAGTCAGCATGCCTGTAATATCAGCCACTAGGGAGTAGGAGAAGATTATTAAATTCATGTCTAGCTTATAAATCTCCCATAAGCATTTATTTGGAACCAGCATGTTCCTAATATCCAGATGATTTCGAAATACAATACCCAAGTTTTCACATCTCAGGAATCTTGTTTTTATCAAGGAAGAAGCCAATACATACATTTCTTTGATATTTTTGAGCAGTTCATCCAGGGAGTCTTTGATATTCTTTGTTATGCAGATCCATACAGATCCATGTTGGTTATCAAGGGGCATTTGAATTAGTTCTGCAAATAGTTATATTCTCATGTCTGAAATTGTACCCAAAATGTTAACTGATCAATCTTTTTCATTAACAACTATTACTCACATGAATACACAGGTCATAGGCCATTTCTTTTAATGCTATCTTGAAATCAGATTAGGTGAGGAGAAGTATTTTATTCAAGTTTAGCATGTTTGGTGAACTTTGGCTGTCTATAACAGTTTCAGCTTCATTTTTCATCAGTTCTGATACCTACATCTTTCAAGTGTAGCTTTTGGAGTGATCATGTATTAGTATAGTACAGTAATAAAAAATGACAAAAATTTATTAACAAATGTCTGAAAAATTGAATCATCGCAACTGGATTTATTTTCTTGTTAGTTGAAGATATTTTGCTGTGTTAATGAAACTAAAGTTTTGTTATTTTGACTGAGAATCCTTATCAACATATTGCTACACACTTTGGGGGAGTTTGAAGTGGGCTGCAGCTTGGGGGTGGGGGAGACCCCTGGACTAGAAGGCCTCTAAGGCCTCCAACCCTGTTATTCTGTTAAACATATTTCAATACTACTTCTGATAATCGTACATGTACCATTCTGGTACCTAGTGTACGAAGCGGTATCATTCTTGATGCTGAATCTGATATATTCCTGTGTCTTTTGTGCTTTTATGTTCATGGCTGTTACTGGTCCTCCTCTAATAACCTGAAGAACATTCTAGTTCTTTCAACAGGCAGTTTGTGAATGTATTTGTTAGGAATTTGTAACATTCATATTTGCATAGTGAAGCTTTAAAGCAAGAATGCTTAACCTGTTTTGCAGCCAGGGGCTACACGTTTTTTCCTTTTTCAAAAAAAACATTTTGCCCTTCCTGACGCCTACTTGGAGTTTGCGGCAATTCCTGATGAATGTGGTGTGTGTGTGTGTGTGTGTATGTATGTAGAAAACTGCATAGACTACCATTGTTTTCCTCATAAAGGTATTATGTAAAAATACATAGAGGGGAAAACTTATCAGAAACTTTTCTAACATTTTGAAAAATAACATTTAGTTCGTGTGTGTGTGTGTGTGTGTGTGTTTTAACTTCAAAATGTTGGATTCGCTTAACTGTCTTATTGTGTCTGTGTTCTTCTAATGTTTGTGGCTGCCTGGTATTTCTACTTCCATTTTGGGCAGGTTATTTGAGCACATATGAGGGGCCTCTCCTGGGTTGCTTGCCAAACCATTAAAGATAATCTGAGTGACTATCATTGGGCAATGCCCCATGCTATGCAGAGTTCTGTTTTCACCATCTACTTTCCTCCTGGACTTCTACATCCCCCTGCACTTCCCCAAATCTGCTCTACATAGTCTCACAGCCTTCTAGAGTAGATTTAGAGAGACTCCATTCTGCTAAAAAAAATTCTTTTTCTGGTAAATGGGTACCACCAATTTTTTTCTAAAATTCTGATGAGGATTACTTACATAATGATACTACTTTCCAGTCTCCAAAAAGCTGATGTGGCAATTGACTTCCAGTTTGGATGCCTATCAAGGAACTTGGTAGATACGTGTTTTATAGCAGCCAAGAAAATACAGCAGAATAAGTGATGAAATTTGTGCCTCTGATTCCTCATCATCTAACGCAAACTCATTCTGCCATTCTTAGAAATAATCATAATGAAAAAGATGTTTCAGCATCTGGTATTGTTTATTCATATAAGTGACAGCAAATATGATTTCTTAATCAGGAATGCCTGTGATAGATAAATTATCACCATGACCCCAAAATAATACAAGAATTTCAGTGGATTAATATATATGATCACATAATATTGTTTTTACTTGTGAACCAAAGAACATTCTTTTCCTGGGATTTATTTATTTAATTCAATACGCAATCACCCTTTATTCAGAAAGGTAATGTGTTTCTTTCCCTTTTCATGCTCCAAATGATACTGCAAAATGGTTCTGTTTAAGAACATCTATGCTTGATCCAAGGTCACAGAGTGAATATCATGATTGTGTAGTGATTGTATCTCTTAGCATTGGCAATCCTAGGGTGATGGAGTGCAGAGTGGCCAAAAGGGCAGAGTTGGGGGGGTATTGGTGAGTGGGAGGATTTGAAATGAATGAAGGCAAATATGTACAAGTCCCAGGATAATGATACAAGATCATTATTTCAAGGGAGTTGAAATGCCCTTATGGTTGTGGGCAGGCTACCAAGTGCACAAATTTTGATCACATACCATGGTGCATTGCAATACCCATAACTTCAGGGATTGAGTGTAACTGAGTAATGTCAAATGGCTGCCAAACAAATGGTCATTATCCCAGGACTACCTGTATTCAAATGAGTTTCTACTGCTATCTGGGAATGTCTAGTGGAGAGGCCACTTTTGGTACTAGTCCCTAGAACTGGAATTTATTACACCAGGAAATGCATCTAAAATGTTTGTTGTTGGATTTTAAACAATAATGCAAGATGCTTCTAAATGAGTATTTGACTTGAGCAGCAACCAATTAACCTAAACAATATTTGTCTTATGTTCACGTTTGTTCTTTAATGCTTCTTCTTTTTATAGATTATGCCATCAATTTGTTTTGATTAACTAGTTCTTATTAATAGTTATTAATTGTGCTAATTTGTTTGCACTGTAAGAGGTATTGGAACTGACTTGAGAAATGGACATCAGGGTGAAAATAATCTAATAATAAATAATGCCAAATGGTGCTTCCTAAGAACTGGAAATACTAACTCTTCCCCTGTTAGCTCCAGATAGAATTACAATTTGGGGATGCATTTCACTGTTTCATCTCTATAATGTTGATATATTCTATTTTCAGTGGGGGCCCTCCTCTTTACTGCCACCATCTGTATACTACTAAAACTCTTGTCATGCCCTTTAACTGGGCGAAATGATGTATCACTGTGTCCAAAATCCAGGACTTGTGACTCCTGAGGGAATGAAATTGGGAAAGATGTGGTTGCTTCAGTGCTATTGGCTGCCACTATGTTTGCAGGCTGCTGTTGTGGTCATGTGATTTTCATTTTCAGCATTCCATAACAGTTTCCCAGCCAGTTTTACAATCCCTCACTCTTTCCCGCCCCACTGAAGCAATCACTTATCTGCCTGTTAGAAAGGGAATGGAAGGAAAGGAAGGAAGGGAAGGAAGGAAGGGAAGGGAAGGAGGGAGGGAGGAAGGGAGGAGGAGGAAGGAATCTCTGCACATCATTCCTGGCCCATGTCACTCCTCTGTGTCCTTCCCTGACCTCTGCTGCCCTATCACATGCCTCTCCAGACCCACACTTCAACCCCACATGCCCTCCTTGAACAGTGTCAGATAGAAGTCTCGTGCCTTTTCTGATCTGCAAGGCACCTCTTTTGTACCCCTATTCACTGTCCCCAAACTGCGTCCCTCCCACACCTTTCTCGACCTATGTGGCATCTCTTGGGCACCCCCACATATCATTTCCAATTTGCATCCCTATGGGCTATCGCTGATCTGCACAGCACTTCTTACACACTCCAAAGAACCACCAGATACCCTTCCTAAACAGGGTATTGCATTGTGATGTTTGCAATACAGCCTGCCTTTTACAAAAATTGCATATGACAATGTAATGCAACTATGAAAAGATGGAGCTTATGTGGTGATGTCATGATGCATATTTGGTCATTTTGGCAAAATCATGATTAGGAATGTATGCCTATGGTTGCAGTGATGGACAATTGCACTATAATAGGGTTGCTTAAAAGCAACATTGTGTGTTCTTAGATGTTGTTATGCTGCACATTATTATCTTTCTGTTATCCAACTAAAACATACCTTGAACCTTTTCAATAAGCCATTCCCACTGTTGGAAGAAACATCCTTCTAGGTTCTGCTCCAAGTGGGGAAACAGACACTGGAAACATGGAGACTGCTTGGAAAGATGGTTTAATGGTGGACAGGATCACATGGCTTGAGTTCCTGAACAGAAAAAGGGCAGATACAGAAAATCCTCGGGTTTTTATGCTCTCTCTGGTTCTGCATTTCTTGGGGCCCCGAAAGAGTATCCTGATTGGTTGTCAGACTCCCAGGGGGTGGGGGCTTTGCTGGCTGATGGTCACATGTGCTTCCCAGGTCACATGTGGTGAGTTTCTGCTGCTATTGTGTAGAGGGCTAATCGAATCTTGGCAATTCCTACTATGGCTCTGCCTGAAGGAGGTAGATCTTTGTTATGTAGAATAGACTGGCCCAAGCCTTAATGGCTCATTGACAGAGTGGGGGGCAGGAAGGTGGGAGCTGCTTTGTCTGTAAAATATGCTTCTCATATTTCTCATCCAGGGAAATATAATATTCTGCCTTTTTCATATTTCCTAAAATATTTCACTCTTCCAGGAAAGGGGTGGGTGCTAACTTCCTACACCACTTCCCTAAAGCTTCAAAATTTGGGTAGAGGGAGACCTTTAGTAATGATAAAGCAGATGGGGTTTGGGATCTTTTGCTCTGCCTCCTTTGCTGTAACAGATTGTGGTTATAGTCGAATAGGCCACCATTCTTTGGAATATTCTCCCTGTAATACATCTGACTGTGGTGTGCTTCTGATATCCCTAATATACCTCTTCATCCAGACCTTCAGGGTTAACACGTGTTTGCTTACATTGGGTAAACAGAATTTTTACACAGCAAGCCTTTTCTCTTCCTTGAAGCCCAAACTAGTTGATATAAATGGAAGGCTTCGTTTTGAAGTACACCGTTGTTAGGGACACCGATCATTCAGATTGTTTATTGTTTTAAAACTATTGATGTTTTCACTACTGGCAAAGGAGTTAACAAACGGATCAAGGTTCAGTGAATTCTCAGTAATGATTCAGTAAGGTCGGAAAAGGTCTCTTTCAAGCTGAAAAAATGAACTGCCTATTAAGCTACAAAACTTCAGCAAATAAAATCCAATCATTAACTCGGGTCCATTGCAGCCGTTTTCTTTGTTATAAGGGGAGCATGAAAAAAACAGCCTCTCTAGGAAGTCATAAAGGGAGTTAAATACTCTCTCAATTTAATAAAGCTGGAGGGCAAGGCGTACTGTTTGCCATGGGTTTGTCACAAGCTATAGAATTACAGCCAGACCCATGCAGAAGGCTGCCTGTTGACTCTGATTTTTTTAGAGCTCTCCAACAGGCACATTTGACTTCAAAATGGGCAGGAAAGGGGGGGAAATGCCTCTGATTGTATATTTCTTTCAGTCCTCTGGAGGAGTCTGACTAGTGATGTGAAAGTAAAAGCGATCAGGGGAGAAATTGTTTTAAACACATTCTGAGAGGGCAGCTGAAATCAGACTGTCAAACCAGTGAACTTCATAGAAATGGTTGGAAGGCTTTGCTACGATTTTCAAAGGCAGGAGAAAAGTTCTATTGCTTGAATCATGGACCCCACAATCAGATGTGCTTCATCCCAAACCTACTTGTGTTCCAAAACAGAGGAGAAGAAACAGAAGCCTACTTTTTAACCCAGATCTTGCCACTCCAGTGAATGAAGTTCAGAGGAGAACATCAAAGAAGTATGAAGCCTGCAGGTACCAGCACAGAGATTTCCTTGTTCAGCAATATCCTATCAGCATATTCCTTTATCACAGGTATTCTTCTTACTCTTACTGTATATCTGTTGAATGTTTTCCTGAAGGGTATCTCTTTGCAATAGTCCTCTATTTTTCATCTCATGCCTCTTAGTTATATTTCTGGAGAGAACTAAAGGAAAGGAAAGATGCTTTGTACATAATTATTATTGTATGTAATTTCTAATGATCTACTTTTGGGTATGAAATGATAGAAATTGTGATCCAAGTGGAACACAAGAACCACATCAAAAAGAGGAAAGCAATGTGGCATAGTTAGGCAATTTTGTTTTCAATTCCTGATCAAAATTAGCATATGGTAAGAAAATGTTAGAATAAAATTTGGTATTTTAAAGTATTTTCAATGATTTCCCCAAATACCTCTCCAGATACTATTTTTTATGCCATAATGGAGGTAGTTTTTGGATATCTGAAATTCAGGCCCTGGTGAAATTTAAATTAAACTTCCCAATAAATCCCTTGTTATCCTAATTATGCATCTATTGTATCATTAGTGTTCGAAATAGCACAATTTTATCTGAAGCTTTATTATGGTCCTATCAGACTGTTCAATTTGCTATTATCACTAGAGATTTAGCTCCTCACAACTTTAGTATTCATTACTTTTTTTCCCCACAGGGATACATAAGGAATATAAACTTTCTATTGTGTAATCTGAGGAGTTAATGGCTACATGTATTTTTTCTGCTGGTTAAATTAGTTTTACTTCAGTAGGTGTTCTTTTTTAAAATAAACAATTCCTAGAGTCACTGAGTTTATATTTTTGTATATTTGTTATATTGTAACAAAGCATACAAGAATCTTTACATTCTCTTCCCAGGGACTTTATTTTGAAAGCCTCCCACAGTGTGGAAACGAAATATTTTTTTCTGTGCTCCTTCTGACCTTTGATTCTATCCTTAAAGAGAAAATAAAGTCATTTTTTGGTCCTTTAGAATAGTGGTTAATAATGGTGGTAATAGTAATAATAATACTATCTAAAATATTTGAGTGAAAAAGAGCAACTGTTATAATTCAGAATTAGCTAGTTCTTCAGCTGCAAGAGAAAATTTAATTTATGTTAAGATATTTCAATCATATTTTAGTAAAAGTTGTGGGTTTTGTGCCTTTGAGTTGACTTTTGTTTACTGCCTTGATATGTCTCTGAGGTTTTCTTGGCAATATTTTGGAAGTGGTTTGCCTTTACCTCCAACACAATGGTTCATTTTATAGAAGATGTGAGCCATGTATTCATGCTAATCCCTATATTTCAATCTTGCAATATTCTTTAACTGAAGATTGAAAAGCAATTAGTATATAGTGGGTCTGCACATATGCTTGTTTAAGTAATTGCCAGGATTGTATTATTGTGCAGCAGTACTTTAAAAAAGTAAAGATCTTTAAACTATGTCTAAAAATTATTTGTGACAATGAAGTAAGACAGGCATATGAGTGAAGATTTAAACCAAGTATTTTACTGATGAATGAGCAGCAACAGACCAGTTAGGTATCTCAATGGAAGTTATAGAAAGGGAAAAATAGGGTAGCTTAAGTTCTAGAATGACAAACCAGTCACATCCCCTTTTTGTGCATATGACAATAAGTCCCCCATTAACTAATGTGGTAATATGCTGCATATTTACCACACATATAATTTTCATTTTGAAATAGTTGGCTTGCTTGCCTTTATGTTCCTGGGCTGAATTCAAGTTGCTGGTCTTAATGTAAAAGGTTCTACACAATTTGGGGCCAGTATACATGAAATAAGATCTACACATGTGCTGCCTTACATCTGCAGGCTGGAGAGGCTTGTTTCATATTGCCAATAGTTGACATACAGTGCAGGTTGACAGGAGATGGATCTTTTCCATGGTGTCCTCCAAATATAAAGTGCTTGACTCCAGGAGATACATTAAGCATCTAGGAACTGATATTTCATCTGTTGTGCCAATGAATGGGTGGCCAATGTAATCTAGGATTTGTGATTGTATTTTCTTTTCTTTTTTTTTTCTAGTGTACTTACCATTGACATTTTTAAATTTTGTACTGCTATTCATTTACACATTCTATGAAATCTATATCATATTCTGCTATTATATTTGTGAGAATAGATTTAATTCCTTGGTTTTGCTTTTGAATACAAAAGTTCTTGGACAGCTGCTTGGTAAAGGAGCTACAACAGTTGCTTGGGGAGCCAGTATAGGGCTTACAGGCATAGAGTTGCCAGATGTCAAAATAGACAAAGGCAGACCTGGAAAATTGGAATGGAGGTCACTGTTTAACTTTCTTGGCATCCATGACAAATATTATAGTGAAAACTGGAGAAGTGTACTTAGGCCAATATGTATATGAAATTATTTTTTGCAGCATCAGAAAAACTAGTTTTTTAATCATAATATTTGTTCAACAAATCTTTATTTTTAAGACCATATACTAGCTATAATATAGAATTGAGGATGTGCTTTTCAAATTTCACAATAGAAATGCATGACAAATCATGTGACTATAGCAATCATTGATTTGAAAGAGCTGGATTGAAGCCAATTGCTGGAATCAGAAAACAAATTAAATAGTATAAATCTAGGATGTTGAGTCTGTTGATGGATGGTGGATGCAGAGAAGGGTTGTTTACAAGATCATAATACATTGAAAGTTTGAATGTGAAAATAGTCCATTTAAAAAAAAAGTTACTCAAAAAACTGGACAGTATTTGATGGAGGACTTGAAGACACAATAGAGGACATATCTTCCTTTTGCTGGACAACTGGTAATCTTATACAGACATTCTGAGGACATTAAGGTAATGGCAGCTGCTGTAGCTCTTTCACCAAGCAATTTTCTTATCAGGGCTAGGTGATCACTCCCCACCAAATTAAGGTTCTTTTGGAAACAAAAATGCTGTTGACAGACAGTTCTCCTAGAAGTGTTCAAAACATTCTGTTTTGAGTTCAGTGTTCCAAAGCTATTTTGAACTTACTGGAAATGTTTTGAGCTTGAAGTAGCCCCACAAAATTGGAATAGCTTGCCTTGAACTTGAAATGGTAGTTTCTAGTTTGAAACGGATGTTTTGAGATTTCTCCCCCATAAATACTAATAGTAAAAATTAGTTTATTTTTAAAAAGGCTAAAGAGAAGGAAAGGTAGTTCTCATTTTGTCCTGTTTATTATCATTTTAAGATTCATTTTCAAAGTCAACTCCGTGGACAAAGTTCCTAATTAGCATATTTTTCCTGTTATTAATTTGGCAGTTGAACTTTCTTTTTTTATTTTTAATACTTGCTGCTTTTCATCTCAATATTACTTTCCTTTTCATTTTAGCTACTGAAGAATAATACAACATTTGTATGGGTTGGAAACTCATACTGTGGATATTGGTGAATCAATAAAGCAGCCATCTTATTAACTGCATAAATTTATCTATATATTGCCAAATTGCATTTCAAAATGCATTCAGATTTTTAAAATACATTCTCCACTGAGAATTAAATAAGCCACCAGCCAATGAATGAGCACATATGTTTACTTTTTTTTATTTCAGAGCCTGAATCTTTATATAATAATAGCTATTACTTGGAGGCATCTAGGAATATAGAAGACATAACAAAAATATTTTGTTAGAGAATTAGGCCTAGGAAAAGGATTATCTGCCTTGATATTCCAAAGTATTTTCCCCCACCAAAAACATTTTATTTTGACTATTCCAGTTATAGTATTTTCATGTGCTAATTATATTATTTCATTTTCCTCCTCTTTTCACCAGTGATTCTCAATGTGGCAAAATTGTGTTATCACAATAATTAATAATTTGTTCTTGTAGTTTTCTCCCATGCTTGCTGGGCTGCCTGCACACTCAATCCCAGATTTTGCCTTTGTCTTTTGCCTTTGAAATTCAGTGGCATAATGGTCAATATTTAATAAATATGATGGTTAGCAATTTTCAGTAAAGCCCAAATACTAATGGATCATTGCATTACTGGGAGGGTTTATGCATCAGTTTTGACTCTTCAACCCTCCTCAAAGACCCCAAGCCAAGCTAAACATTTGCGGCTTCTCCATTCTATCTCCCCATTGTATCCTTGGACAAACTGTATCCCCTGCTGAACTTAGAGAACCTTTTTCTTTAAAATGTGTCCCACAAAGATGAAAAAAGGGCTGCTAGCTCTGGCTTGTTTATTTTATTATTAAAGTTTCCAAATACCCACATTTGTGTGTCATCTGTATTCTCTTAATATTTTGTGTTTCAGCCTAAGTTCTGTTACATACTTTGATTTGTAAAAAGAGCAAACAGTTAACACAGTTATTATCAATAGCAAGGTTTCTCTTTGTGAAAATATTTCCTGCTCTTCTTAAAAAAAAATCTCTTCCATCTTTCAGAAAACCCTGAACGAGCTGCCCTCTGTTTTGTGTCTGGGATTTGCATTGGACTTCTCTTGACCTTGTTGGCTTTAGTTGTCCAAATCTCCTGTCAAACTGATTGCAAACAGTCATCAACCCAAAGGCCATCATGCAACAGTGATGGTAGCTGGAGTGACAGTGACTCAGATACCTCCTCAGACCTGTCTGTGCGACGGCAACGTCGATTTGAGCGGACTTTGAACATGAATGTCTTTACTTCGGCTGAGGAGCTTGAGAGAGCGCAACGGCTGGAGGAAAGGGAGCGCATCATCCGAGAGATATGGATGAATGGTCAGCCAGATATTCCAGGAACCAGGAGTCTCAATCGCTACTATTGATGGCGACAAATAGAACTGAACTCATGGGGTCTCTTAAGTCTGCTGGGAAGAGGACTGAAGTCCTACTCTAGAAAGGCAATATTTTTACTTTACCCTTTCAGTCTAAGGACAACCTTTTTCAATATTTTGTTCAGGTTGCAAAGTTGGGGGAGGGGGAGGGGGAGGGTTTGTTTTTTCTCAATGCTTTTGGTTGCTACAAATTGGAAAAGCTGATGAGTGATACATAAAAATTCACACAAATATTCTCTCCTCTTCTCCTTCCAACTAACTATTCTAAAGATAGTATTTTTAGCTGCCTCTTCTTTAGATTTCACTTTCAAATTTGGTCCCCAAAATGACCTCAGGAAACAACATTACTAAACTCCCTACTCTACTTGATGTTACTGTTAAAAATGAATGGGAAACTGGCATGCTGCAAAGCAAAACAGGAATCTCCCACATTTGCCAGATAACTTATTTCCAATAAGGTCTGGGGTCCTCCTACCCCTCCTCCTACCCAGAGGGGTTCTTTGAAGATAAAATGGTGAGTGATTGCAGTTGGTGCTTTGTCTTCTTTGTGATTGGCCACATTCACCATGGCAGGACAGCCATTTCCTAAGAATGTCTATCTCTTCTAAATTTCAAATGTTTAGCCATTGGGACAAAAAGGTTGAGAACCATTGTTCCACCAGATCACTTTTTCCTGCTGCTGTTGTAACAGGAATAAGAGTTCTGCTCCTCCAGTGCAGCTGATGCCTTCTGATCAAATGAAGGAGTGGGGTATGTCCCTCTCAGCTGTGCTCTATAAATCTTCCTCACCCTGCAGATTTGCTGAAATTAAGCTATCCATCTCCTTAATTCTGACAATCACAGTCCTCCCCTGGTTAACCACCATCTTCACCAACTATTTTTCTTGAATTTTTATTGGAAATAAAGGGATATACTGTACAAGATGAAAGGCTCTATATTTGATGAAAGGCTCACTTTATATTTTAGAAAATGTGAGATTTATGGTTGGAATCTTTCTCCAGGCACATGTCTAAAATATGAATTTTAAACTGCTTAAAGTTTTAATAATAAAAAACCTGCTAGATAGTATGACTGCCCTGCCCCTTACCAACCAGAAAAGCAGATCTAAAATAAAATATACAGTTTCTGAGGTCTGTGGGAAGTTATGGACAAAGAACATAAAAAACCTGGAGCAATCACTGGCAGCACTTTTCCATAGTTCAGGAGAAAGAAAATTGGGGTAATGCTTGTAGGCATTCATACTTGCCCATAAGCTGTAATTAACAAAGCATCCAAGTGTGCCTTAATAGAAGACAATATCTGATAAAAGAGATATAGAAGCAGAAAGGTGAACAAGTATCTCATGACTTTGAAAAGTCATGGCATTGACCTAATTTTTCTTTCTTTCCCACAGATGCTTCAAAACTGGGCATTTCCACATTATGAAATCAGCTTGCTAGTTGCACATTCACAATAATACATTGTGTTATTTAAGACTGTGTTTTAAATCTTGCTTCAGTGGCAGCATTTCCCCCCCTGACAACTCTGGGATGTAAAATTCTCCTCTCAACTCAAGTTCCCACATTCCCGCCACCCCCACCCCCCACCTTGCTATTATTTTCTATTGAGTCTTCTTCCAATCAGGAATTTTATATTATAGGAATTGTGTAAGTTTCAAATACATTGTTAACAACCTCAAAACGATTGTCAGGATTTTATGAGTTCCCATATGTGTGTATATATGCCATTTGAAAGTACTGATTAAAATTGTTTTCTTATAACTTGTGCTATAGTATTTTATATAATTAAGTCCCTCACAACAAAAATCAAAAAGAAAAAGAGGCTGTACTTTACAAGTTCAAAATGGAACCGAGAAAAGTTAAGATTCTGCTCTATGCAGTTAAAATCTGCCTGTCTGCCTGCCTGCCTGCCTGCCTCCTGCCTGCCTCTCTGTCCTTCTATCTATCATCTATTTATCATTCTCTCTCTCTCTCTCTCTCTCTCTCTATCTATCTATCTATCTATCTATCTATCTATCTATCTGAATTTAATCTGTATAGAGTAGAATCTTAATCTTTCTTGGTTCCACAGTAGGTACTTTGTTTCACTGAAATGCAAGTTATCTTCTCCATATTTAAAGTTGCCACAACTATACAAACAACAAGATAGGATTATTAATTATTAATCTAATAATAGATTAACGCCTGAGCATTATTAGTTGCCCAAGCAGTTCAAAGAAAGTGTTCTGCTAAATTTCTGAAGAATTAGAGCAGGCTGTCCTGTGCTTTAAGTGTACACATGTCATATATAATTCAAACCATTGGAAATGTTCAACTTGTATTTTGCACATTCATCCAATATGTGATATTTTTGTTAAATTCCCTGATGTATCCCAATGATAGTGTTTGCTATTTTTTTTCCTGTCAATCCTAGCATTAATATTCCAATGAAAATTCCAGTGAACTAATGAGGCATGATTTCCCTTTCCTGAATCTACAATAATGTGCACACATGAGAAAAAACATTTTATGGGCTCTTTGCACTTTGTAGGGTAGGATTTTTCTGCAGTCTGTTGGAGAAATGTTCAACTATTTCTAGAAGTTAGCCTTTTATTATTCCAATACATTTAATGTAGTTTCTTTTTCAACAAGAATTTTTGTAATTTGAGTTAGGCTCTGGATATCAGTCAGAAACTGTGCAAACATATTTTGTTCAGTCCCTGGTTGGAATAAGGATATAGTACAGCAGCAATCCTTATCTCCCTATTTCAACAAGGAAACAATATACTGTTTGTAGGATGTTTTATTCTTATAAAGAGTTCCATAATAGTCAACAACTCTATGCGCAAAAGTGCCCTCTGTTTTCTTATTCTTGTAGGTAAGGAAAGAGCTTTGTTAAATAATAATAACATAAACCAATTTCCTTCCTATTAAAATACTATTTAACACAATATGCACTTCTATATCCAATTTGTTAGAACAAGAAGTAGACAAGGATAAGAACAAAGTTTTATGCCTACCAGAATTGGTATAATATATATTTATTTGCAGCTAAATAATGACATTATTACCCAGCATTCATCAATTTTAGTAGTGTAAATCACTTTTTTGGTCTAAGCTATTTTGTTTTAGCTTTTTCTGGTTCAAGCTAATTTTTCCATATAGACATTAGACAGGAAGAAATCTGGATTTCCTGCAGAGTACACTAACAATATAAATTCTCTAATAGTGAATTCCAGCTTTCTATGCTTCTTAATAGCACATATAATGTGGTTTAGATAACCTGGTTTTAATAGCTTTATTTTAAGATTCAGACTTTGTGTGTGGCATTTGGGGGAAACATTTTCCTATTTCTGTGTCTATATTCTAGCACAAGGAAAAATATTCCTTTCCTTTTGTTTAACTTTTATTCCATTGGAATCCAGGGGAACTTAAAAGATCTTAGGCCTGCCCTAGTTCCAGTCAAAGATTTTTCTGTAGGTAATTATTAATGACGAGCTCTATCTTCTTTTCTAAAAGTGAACTAATTTAACTTATAAACTATGCCTTATGCAATCCCAGGGTTTGATACATAAATGCCTAAATCCCAGAACAGAGCTCTTAGGAAGAGCTTCCTTTGTTTTGGAGTAAAAAAATATTCAATAATAAGTTTAAAATGAGAGTATAAGATTACTTCAAACTCCATTGATGCTTTAAAATAAAGGAAATTGGAATATGAGATCAAGAAATTTCACATAACACAATCTGTAAAGACTTTTTTCCATGGATAAAGAAGGCAAGTGACAAAATGTGCATTACATCATGCAAATGCTGTGACATCTATGAAAACATAAATATGTAATGGAAACATTTGTGCCATGACATCATGACATGTTTCATAATTTTGATGCCAGCATAGCTTGGGGGATGTCACAATTTTGGTCAATTTTCTAGCTAGGATGACTTTACAAGTGAGGTACATAGCACCACAATTTGCATTGGTCTTTCAAATCAACCTTGCTGGAGAGGATATGTTTGAGTAGATGATCCTCCAATCACTTGACAGAGAGGTCACTGATGAAAGTATGCCTAATTTATCTGTACAAGGGCTAGTGTTTCTGCCAAATTTCTCCTATTGTGATAATTTTCTAGAACCAGAACAAGAACATCTCAAAATCTGACCACACTGTCAGCCTCACCATTAATATCACACTAGGATTGGAGATGCCTTGATTTGAATTCCCATTTCCCATGGTCAGATGCCCCTAGAAGAAGCAGACCATTACCAAACATATAATATATATTGTATTCCCAGAGCCACTTCTCTGGGAAGAAATGTCCAAGACAAGAGTAATGTCTATTCTAGGCAGTTTCAATCAAAATCGGCTTTTCTTCCCAAGTGCCATAGGAAATAGTTACTAGGTTGAAGAGAGCTCAGTGCCGTTCCTGGCTTTTTTATTGAATGAGGAAAGATAGAAGAAATTATGTGGGCACACAGAAGATTACAAATGGAAAATTACCTACTCTGTCATATATAATGTTATAATAATAAAGTGTAATACAAACTACAAGAAAATAGAGAAAAGGAGTAAAACATGCAAATAAAATTAAAAAGAGAAGAGGAAAGTAAGAATATGATAAATAAAAACAAAATAAATATATAAAGAACTTACTTCCAACCTTCATCACAAGGTTGTCATCATCGCATAAAGAAATTTAGTAATTCTTCATCCCCTCTAAGGTTACAAACATCTTCTCACATCCCATAAAAAATTCATTAAACATTAATTTTTCAATCCTCGGCAGAAAGTCCAAAAAGGGTTTTCAGAAGTAACACACTTTCAGAAGTTATTTTAGCTTTGATCAAATAAACCGACTTAATGTTACTTGTAAAGAATGTTACTTCTTTTTACTTCTACAAGTCTTAATCTTGGTTCATTCATGTATTGTAGGATATGATTCCTCTTCATTTCTTCTTTGTCCATTGCATTGTTCTTCAAGGCTTTAACAGGCCTCTTTTATTAAACCAATAGGAAAACATTATCCTGGTCATCCTTTTGGTGCCCCCAGAAAATAGTGATGATAATAGCAACTGCCAATCAGTTACACCAAGGTAAAATGGTCCCAGAGAGTTTTTGGGACAGGATATTTGAAATTTCAGTCTTCACTCTAAAGGCCCAGCTGTGCTACTATGGCATTAAATCACATTTACGTGTTTCCTTTACTGTGCTATGCAGCTATTTTTCTTGCCTCTCTCTCAAGCCAGGCGCTCATCTGGGCAAGATCAAGAACTAGATTGATTTCAGTAAAGTATCTACACCAGCCTGGAATAACTTCAGAATCTTGGACAAAATAAATTTCTACCTTCATTTAGACTGAATTAATTAAGGTGGCATCTATGAATGATTTCAAACATTTTTTTCCAGGATTCTTGCCACTTACATTGGAAAGTTGCCATTGGTGAGATAAGCTATCTATCTTAACTGTTTAAGCTTCCTTTCCTTTCCTAGCCTCCTCACAATCTTTCACAAAATGTATATTCAGCAAGCTTGCAAGGGCTAGAAAGACTTTAAGATTTCACCTGACATTTGTTTATACTTTCCTCCGGTTCATTAAAACCAGAAATAAATGATGACAGAATTCTTTCTGGAGATCATTTAGCTTTTTCCCAGAGAATCCAGTGCTGTCACATCCTGAGGCCAATGGTTTTAATTATGGCCAAATGTTCCACTAGAGTAATCATAATCCATCCTGATGCTGCTTGATGGATTGAGCGACAGGGTCAAATCTGCAATCATGGAGGGAAAAAGAGTTTTTGAATATATTAGAGATGTTTGGCAACAGTTTGGGAGGATTAATAGGAAACTACTTTCATGTCTTTCCAAGCAAGTTAATTTTTCTGTTTCAGAAATTACTGAATTATGTGTAGTAATATGCTGTATTCTCTGATAAAACCTCACAGGCAACATTTCTGTTTCCTCATGAAAAATGATGAGCTCAATATTTTTCTCATGATTGTCAGGAGACTTGTTTGTATGTGGTGTACACTGGAGATATATTCTCTGGGAAACATTTTAAAGAAAAATTCCAATGTTTTTTAGAAGAAACTTGAAACTGTAATCTTCTTGCAGCAAACAAATCAGGTTGAAAGGCAAGCAGATCCCTCAGGGGTGGAAAGCTGTGTTAGAGATTCCTGAATAGATGACTTGTACCTGTCTTAAAGATCAAACCATCTGAAGTGCCGTCCCACCTCCAAACTTCAAAGCAATAATTTGCTCATGCAAAGGACATAAAAGCTAATGGCCTGATATAAGAAGAATGTTCAACTGTTTTTTCTTTCAAGCATAATATTGTAAGGATTCTATGCTTTGCAAGCAGTGGTGGGATTCAAACATTTTTACTACCGGTTCTGTGGGCGTGGCTTGGTGGGTGTGGCATGGCTTGGGGGGCATGGCTTGGTGGGTGTGGCAGGGGAAGGATACTGTAAAGTCTCCATTCCCTCCCCACTCCAGGGGACGTTTACTGCAAGAATAGATGGGGGCGGGACCAGTCAGAGGTGGTATTTACTGGTTCTCCGAACTACTCAAAATTTCCACTACCGGTTCTCCAGAACTGGTCAGAACCTACTGAATACCCCCTCTGTTTACAAGGTTTGGGCACACCAGTGCGTAGCAGATCTGTACATAGTGCTTTATTGCAACACACACCTTCCCCCAAAATAGACTATTGTTCTCCACCCTTCTAGGATTTGCAAAGTGATGTTAATATGTCTTCAATACTCAGCCCTTTGACACTTAGTTCAAGCAAAAGCCTATTAGTCTCTAAAGTGGCATACAACCTTTGCTTCCTTTCAAAAGATATTACACAAGGGATGAGCTGCGGTTTCAGTGTGGCTTGCTCCTCTTCTAGTTGCTATTGAACTCCTGGAAAACTCCAAGCAGGACTCCCACCAGGATATGCTGCTCATCATAACTTGTGGTCCTGGCAGTTGACTTGCCTGCTTGAAATAGCTGCCAGTTTCCAAAGGTCACCTTCCTTCCCCATCTGCATGCTCTTTGCTGTCTCCTTTCCTCCTACATTCCTCTCCTCTCTGCCTTAGGTTTGCTTTTGTAAGCTAAGGCCCTGGGTAGTGTGAAACTGCCTTTGGATTTCAGCACAGGGCTTGAAAACATTACAGGCAGTTAGAACACTGGCTTGCATGTTTGTGAATAAAGAAACGTTTCTGCCTAGCTGCAGCTACCCTTCTCAAGCACAGGCAGCAACCCCAAATTCATTTCCCAACAGTTATGAAAAAGCCTGCTTGAATATGTGGATTCAGAGTACCATTAACGGCTTAGAGTGTTACAGCCAGTTGGTCTTGTTTTCATTAGCCTCCCTTTCCCTGGGGTGACCTTGGTTCATCAGATGAAAAGCGTATGTTTGCTATAACAAAGGCATCTAGCTACAGTTGTGTCCCATTCAACTCCCAGGAGGGACAGCTCAGCCTCCATCCCTTTCATTTTCATTGGTTATTGACATCCTTAACTCCTCAGCCAATAACCAATGAAAATGAAAGGGCTGGAGGCTGAGCTGTCCCTCCTGGGAGTTGAATGGACACAACTGAAGCTAGATGAACAGAGGCAGGCAAAGGTTCCCTTCCATTCCTCAAACAAGACATCATCTGAAGAGTAGATAGTTTTTCAATACCTTGTCTTAATTCTCAAGTACTAATTAAAAATGTACTGAAGCACTGAATAGCAAAGCCAGGAATCCAATGTTTTACTGACATGCTTTTATCAAAATAAAATGCACTGGAAAAAAAATCCCAGCAATGCAAAATCTATGGTGTGCTGCCAGACAATACTGCATTTCACCAATAGAAGACCTTGACCAGATTTGCTGAGTCAAAGGATGCATATGACTGAGCAGAAATTGAGATACATAGAGTTGTTTAGTTTTCAGAAAGAAGTTGTTGATGTACTATAATTCTGCAAAGGTGGTACACAGAACAAGGTCATAGTCTACTGCATACAGTCTGTTTTCTTAAACTTCAGGGATGGAGCAAAGATTGTACATTACAGGAAGAGAGATCAATCACATTTGATTGATTGATTGATTTAGGAACAAATTGTAAACATGCGAGGTTTGGCAATTGAGTCAATCCCTTTTTGCTGCATATCACCAAAAACAAAATGGGGAGAGACAATAAATTTGTATTGAGAGTTCTGTGCCACCCAATTCTTTGCCCTTGCCCATTTTGGGGCACCATTCTGAGTGTGGTCCTTGGTAGGCCACACATCACAGAATGTGGCTCTCAGCCCCAAAAAGATACTCATCCTTTCAACTGTTAAGGGCCTTAAAGCTTGTAATGTTTGAAGTGTTGAAGAAAGATCAGTAATCTCTCTAGTCTGATATTTAGGGCACAAAAGGGTCCTCCCCCCTGCTATGTGTGTATACAGTATGTGTGTATTTATGCTGATATCCATAGGACTATATTAGTAGTCAGTTTTGCAATTCAGGAGTTGGAAGAGCTCTTGCTGCCTCCAGCTGGTCAGTAGTTGAACATCTTTTGTATCAACTCTCAGTTTGAACATTCTCATTAACAAATATTTCTACAATCCCACTCCCATGAAAATAGGAGAAAATAACTTACAAATGTCAGTCATCCCCGCTCTCCATGGCTTTGTTTATTTGGCCATTTTCAAGGAGAAAACCCCATAACTTTTATGAGCGGGACTGCACGAGCAAATAAAAAATGTAAATGAAATTGGGGAATTCAATAAGAACTTGGAGAATTGGTGGTAGCTCTATAGGGACATTTCCCTCCATTTCCACTCAAGAAAATGCCTACAAAAGAAGATATTTTTGGCAAGTGACTCAAGGAAATCTCATATTTTTTTCATATATGCTTAATTGTTATTAATCAGATTTGAACACTGGATCCTATCCAACAAAATGCAATTTAATGAGGAGAAAAGTAAGGTTTTACACTTTACAAAAAAACCAAATGCACAGGTATAGAACAGGTGGTAACTTGTTCAATAGTGATAACTGTGAGAGGGATCTAGGTGTCCTTGGCCAACCATATCAATATGAGCCAGCACTGTGCTGCAGCTACCAAAAAAGCCAATATGGTCCTAGGTTGCATCAACAGAGGGATAGAATCAAGATCACGTGCAGTGTTGGTAGTACTTTATACTGCACTATTGAGGTGACTCTTGGAATACTGCATCCAGTTTTGATCACCAAAATACAAAAAAGATGTTGGGACTCCAGAAGAGCAACAAAAATGATTAGCGGATGGAGGCTAAAACATATGAAGAAAAGTTGCAGGAACTGGGTATGTCTAACCTAGCAAACAAAAAGACTAGGGATGACATGATAGCAGTCTTCTGATATTTAAGGGACTGTCACAGAGAAGAGAGGTTCTCCAAAGCACCTGAGGACAGGACAAGAAGTAACAGATGGAAACTTATCAAAGAGAGCTTCAACTAAGGAGAAATTTCCTAACAGTGAGAACAATTAGTCAGTGGAACAGCTTGCCTCCAGAAGTTGTGAATGCTTCAACACTGGAGTTTTCAAGAAGAAACAGAATAGCCATTTGTCCAGAATGGTATAAGGTCTCCTGATTGAGCAAGGGGTTGGACTAGAATTATTCCAAGATCTTTTCCAACTCTATTATTCTGTTATTACTTTAACTGTTGTTTTTTCTGTAAAGATGTCTAGTAAATATTGCTAGTTTCCAATAACTATTTGGGGTGATTGTCATTTTTTAGATTAATAAAATTATTACTCTATATCTACATTGAGCTGCCTTCTATATCTATTGGATTTGGGACAAAACACATTGGGTCCCATGTATTTACACACAAAGGCAAGAAGGAAGAAGGGTTTTTCATTTTGTCTGGGCCAGAAGGAAAATAATTGCAAAATAAAACCAGAAGTGGGGGTCACAGCATACAGTACTAACAAGGAAGGAAATTGTGGTTCTCATAAGTGGCAGCCAGCCAGAGGAAAGAGTTGAAGCTGCCAGAGAAGCCAAAAAAAGAAGTCAGGTATGAGCTGGAAAAACAGGGATCTTTTTTTTTAAGGAGAAGGGGACAGGATATTTTACAGAGAGTTGTGAGACGTTCATTTTGCATATTTGATCCCATTTATTCAGTGAGGAACAGAATAACTTTAAAAATCTTCAGGTGGCCCAAGGCAGCCTCATCAGAATTCTCTTTCCCCGGTATTTGTTGTCTTCCGTTTCCTTGGTATCCAACAGACCACAGAACTCTTGAACTGGAGGTGGTAGATCTCCATTTTCCACCACCGCTGCCTGTTCATAAGGTTTAGGCACATGCTTTCTGCAGCTGAACAAGACTTTTTGAGTGCCACTTAGGCAATGATGAAAAGAAAGGAAATCCAGAGTCTTCTCTTCTCAGGAGATTATGACTGGTAAGTTATTTTGGGAAACACTCCCAAGGAATTACAAGAAAAGGAGAGACGGGGGTGCTTCTAAGGGACCAGGAATAGAATCCCAATTGATTAAGATCACCAGTTGCTTAAATCTGCTTGTAGATCTGCTTGCATTATATCTGCTTGTATTCGACACTGTTTGTTTTACTGTGTATTTCTTCTAGATAGGAAATAAATGACTCTGGCCCAGTCATTCATGGACTGAATGCAAGAGGGATGTACCCTGCAAACCTCAGCAGCATGTTCAACAAATATATTGCAGGAGATAGGTTTAGACTTATTCCAATGGCTCAAGTCACAGGAACATGAATTCCAGAAAAAATATATGTCCAGAAATGATTTTTCTTGCCCTCGTTTGTATTCTGTCTTTCTAGATAAATATAACTGAAGTGGTTGTCTTAATTTACCCAATGATTAAAAAAAAGTTTTGACTAAATAGACTGCAGATCAATTCTAACAAGACTCTATTTTTAGTTCTGGATAGGGTGGTGCCACCTCAGACAGAACTGGTGCACAATGTAGAGCAGGAGTGTCAAACTTGCAGCATCACATTGTCATCACATGATGTATTGTGACTTTCCCCCCCTTCGCTAAACCGGGGGTGGGTGTAGCCAGCGCATAATGCATCCAGCCCATGGGTTTGACACCCCTGATGTAAAGGGTCTCCTGGACTCATGGTTCCTTTAAAGATGGCATTGAGATCAGCAGGTGAGTTGGAGTCTGTGAGTTGCTATTATTTCATTGTTGATTGTGTTTGCCTTCAGCTGCTCTTATAGGCTTTTATCCTAATGTGTGTTGATCTTTATTTTTGTACTGTGTTTTTAGTTAAATGCCCAGAGGTCTTATTGTGTCAGCCATATAAACTGAAGAAACAAACAAATAAATAAAGCTACAAAGGCCCTTTAAAACAAAAGTGTCCAACAATGAAGGACATTGAAAAGAAAATTCATGAGAAGTGGTTTTCTAGCCTCTTCCATCAAACTTTATAAACAGGGGGCCAATTCACGGTCTCTCAGACTGTTGGGGCGCTGGACCGGCTGAGTGGGCATGGCTAGGACATGTGACTAGGTGGGCGTGGTCAATGTAACAGTCCATTAAACAATGCATGCAAATTAAACTTTAATTTGTTTTGCTCCTGGGGGTGTTTTATTTGCTTTTGTTTGCATGTTGCTCTTTTTCTTTTTTACTAGATCATTTTTTCAGTTGTTTAGGAGACTAGTGGTCCACTTCAGGAAACTCAATTCTTCTCAGCCCCAAGGAGCTTACAGTCAACAAGTCTCTCTCCCTCCCTCCCTCCCTCCCTCCCTCTCTCTCTCTCTCTCTCTGTGTCTTGTCTCTTTCTCTCTCTCTTTCTGTGTGTGTGTCTTGTCTCTCTCTCTCTGTCTGTCTGTCTATCTCTCTGTCTGTCTGTCTCTCTCTCTGTGTCTCTCTCTCTCTTTCTCTCTCTCTGTCTATCTCTCTCTCTTTCTCTCTCTGTTTATCTTCTGGAGGTGGGGGGGAGGTGATAAATGGGGCCATTTTTCACCACCCCTGCCTCCAGAAGCATTCTGCAGGCCAAAAATGGGCTAAAACGGTCTGGTTTTTGGCCTCCTGGGGCATCTGCTTGCCCCATTTTTCACCTCCCCCACCTCCAGAATGTGTCTGCAGGTTCCACTTTTTGGTTGACTGTCAGAAAAGGAAGAGTTGTATCTTTTTGCCCTTCTTGTGCCCTGGGGACCTCTGCTGAAAGAACTGGAGAAAATATGAGAAATGATTTTATATATGATCATAGCAGATTTAAGCATAACCACCATGTCTCATGTCATATAGAAGCTAAACAATATGGGAGACACAACATCACTTTCCGAGACTATCCGGCAGTTATAGGAACAGTTATAGAATGGAGTTGCCTATCTTTACAAGATGACACAGAAAACCCCCACAGTTAATTAAATCCAGAGTCCTTGAGAGATTATAGGTGGTGACATTTCCTGTGATGAATTGTATTATAGAGTCTCAGGAGGGAGAGGCTGCATGCCAGGGAGCAAAGAGGCAGTGGAACTTGGAATGTTTGGTAGGCAGGAAGATAGCTCCTCCCTAGCAGTTCACAGAATATATCCAGATAGTTGCTTTAGTCTGGCAAGATTTCTGTCTGTAGGTGAACAACAATAAATAACTACTTGGAAGTAACTCCATGTGTTGTTCTTGGTTCTTGGGCCTGACAGCTCCCATCATAATCTAGTAAACAACTAAGAATTACATTAAAAAGTGTGACCTTTTAAATCCACAACCAGTTTTGGTGATAAGGAAATCACACCTGGTTAAAAGAAGCATGATCTGTAAAGGGATTCTACAATGGGTAATTCATATTCCATGATAGAGTTGTTGCTGTTCTAATTAATTGGCCACATCTCCAGGTATCCTCAGCATATCTAAATAGAGTTAATCACCTGGTTTTGTTCATTACCTTTCAGAGCCAAGCAAAAGCTCAACAAAATCTACAGTAGTCACCACATTGCCATCCTCCCTGCAAAATAACAATCAAGAATATCTAGAGACACCAAGTCAGCCCTCCAAAGAGCTTCATCTTTCAGCGTATGTGCCAGATGGACAAATATTTATTTAGCATTAATTTGTTTTTGTAATTAATAAGACCAATTTTGTTTTTATCAGGCCTGGCCCTCCTTTGAAATCAAACTCTACTTTATCAGCCTTTCCTGACCCTTCTGTTAGTCCTCCACAAAAACAGTATTTTGTAGATGACGCGTGCCAAGTAGATAGGTTCAAACAACAGAATTCATCATCAAGTAAGTAAAACTGCAGGAACACTCTGAAAGAAATAGTGTGTGATTATTTTTGTTGTACTGTATAGGATGTTATTTATTATTCATATGTTTGAGTCTGATTTTTTTCCTAGTTATATATACTAATAGCAGATGCAGATGCAAATGCAAATGGTGAATTTATTATTTTGTAGCCAGAAAAACTCTGTTGAGAAATAGGATAGTGATAATAACATGCTTAGCAGAAATTTATAACATTTACAGAAGGGAAGGATTCAGGGGGAAACACTGCCGAAATTTGAATTATTTGCTGTTATTTCTAACTATAGAAATAAATATCTACAAGTTTACAGATCGCTCCTATTTTTCTTTCAGTCACTTCTATTTACATGTTTACATATTTTCTATTTACATGTTAAATTTTTTATAACCTTCTCTTGTATATAAAAAAGGCTATATTTATTATTCGGCGCTTGGTTGGAAACGTTTAGTTCTCCCAATGCAAACCTGCTGTCCAGCCAACAGGGCAGGGCTATTACAATTGAAATGAAAGTGGTCTGTTGATTAACAAACAGCAGTGCTTCTCCAATTAGAATATTTTATACGTGCCTTTTCCCTTGAATGTTCTCAGCTCCCTGCCCTCCCACACTAACCTCAGCCGATTTCCTTTTGAGGGATTTTATGAGCTTGCAGAGAGCCAAGTTGTAAGCTGGCTGGGAGGCAGAAGGCTCTTTGATATCAGCTTATGGCTTTCAAAAACGGTGCCCTCAGAATAAGAGGGAAGTGACATTTTGCCTAGCCACAGCATTCTGTCTCAAAAACTATCTGATTAATCCCCAAGGTAGTGATTTATGCTCCATGGGAGGGTGACTAAGGGTCAGAGGATAATACAGAAGTGTTCCTCTGCCAGCAGAGAGGAAGGCCCACGCACAGGATGGTTCCAATATGCCTCCCAATCTTGGTAGCAGAAAGCTTCATTGTCACTGCCCTGTCAGTAGGAAGATCAAAATAGGAAACATAATGCCATGCATCTCAGCTTCAAGCTAACACTTGAGCTCTTCAGAGCCAAGGATATAAAATACCATAGTTACACAGCTGAAAAAACCTTGAACAACTGCCATATTCTGTCAAATGCCTGGATCATTTGGGTCAATATATATTAATTGGGCCTCATGTGGGACAACCTGCTCAAGACACTCTAGCAGAAGGTTTCTTTAGGCAAAGCATGGGCTCATTAGTTGTGTTCCATTAGGGCAATATTCTTTAAACATTTTGCTCTCAGTCAGGACCCCTTTCCACTTTTAAAAATTATGCAGGACTCCAAGAGCTTTTGTTTGTATGGGTTATATTTGTCAATATTTGCCATATTAAGGATTCATTCATAGAACATTTATTGAATCATGTAAAAATAACAATCTTAAACCATTAGATATTAGAATAAAGTATTTTTCATAGAAAATACCCTATATTTTTTAAAAATAAAAAATACAGTGAGAAGAGTAACATTGCTTTAAATTTTTAAAAGCATCTTCAATATTTGCCCAATAATTTTGGTTTCACAGACCCCTAAAACCACACTTTAAGAAGCACTATGTTAACAAGTAAAAGAGACAATGATAACATGGGCTAAAAATTTTGGCTGTTAGAGTTAGATCAATGGCAGAAATTATGGGATAGAAATTATAAATTAACAGTGTCTACTGCATACAAAGAAAATCTTTATAAAATGTTTTATAGATAGCATTTTCCACCCTCAAGATTAGCAAAGATGATTAAGGATAAATCTGCAAAATGTTGGAAATGCCACTAAACACCTGGGTCATACTATTATATATGGTAGACATGTCAAAAAGCGAAAAAATATTGCACAAAAATACATACATGGCTGGAAAAAATGATAAAACAACATATAAATTTGAAACCAGAGATGCCCATTTTTGTTGGGCATTTTACCAGACAATTATAACAAAGGGAATGTATGCCAACTCAGAAAGCTCAAACTGCCCAAAGAGTTGCTGATCCAGTTCTACAGAGGAATTATTGAGTGTGTCATCTGCACCTCCATAACTGTCTGGTTTGGCTCTGCAACCAAACAAGACAGACACAGACTTCAACGGATAATCAGAACTGTAGAAAAAACAATTACTACCAATCTGCCTTCCATTGAGGATCTGTATACTGCATGAGTCAAAAAGAGGGCTGTGTAAATATCTACAGACCCCTCACATCCTGGATATAAATTGTTTCAACTTCTACCCTCAAAACGAGGCTATAGGGCACTGCACACCAGGACAACTAGATACAAGGACAGTATTTTCTCAAATGCCATCACTCTGCTTAACAACTAATTCCCACAATTTACTAAGACTGTATTACTATTCTTCTTCTCTTCCTTACTAGTATCTATCTCTTCCCACTTATTACTATTACCATGTTGCTTGTATCTTTCAATTTATATTGTTTTTATTTGTTTCCTAGTACGATTTGATAGCTTATTAGTAACCTTGACTATCACTAAGTATTGTATCTTTTACTCTTGATTAATGTATTTTATTCTCCTTATGTACACAGAGAGCATATACACTAAAGACAATTTCCTTGTGTGTCCAATTACACTTGGCCAATAAAAAATTCTATTCTATTCTATTCTATTCTATTCTATTCTATTCTATTCTATCCCAACAGACGAAGATGTGATTAGAAAAATATTAGAATGTGCAGAAATGGATAAGCTAACATTTACAATTAAGAGAAAGAAAGAAACTGAATATTTTTTGACTTGGGACTTATTTTATCAATGGCTAACTGACAAAAACAGGAGCTAGAAACAGGGAAATATATGGAAGGATCAGTGATATTAGGAAGATATGTTAACTTGGTTAAATAAATAGTATGATTATTATTGTTATTAATATTAATATAATGATATTAATGCAATGAATGTTGTTGTAAACACTTTGATTATTATTTCCTAAAATGATTTGTACCCAGACAACAGTTCAATTGAAATTGGAATTTTTGTATGCTATAAAATAAAATAAAAACTTATTACCCCCCCCCCCCAAAAAGAAGAAGAAGCACTATGATAGAGCCATGTAGTGCTCTCAGGTATGTAGACACCCAAATGTAGCCCCTCTTTCAGCTATTGAAACCAGTTGAGTTATTTCCCAGGATCACCTGAGAGGTAGCTGTGCAATTTCAAGAAAAGATGCAATTGAGATTATTTGCAGACTGAGATTGTGTTCATTTCCCTATCTCATCCAAAGCACCTTGCTTGGATAATATCTAAAGCACTTTATAACCTTAATATCCATGTGTCCATCTAGTATGCTGAAAACAGAACTCGAAGCATAAATCCTGTAATTAAAACTTGGGATTTCTCTGTGCATTTTTTCTGTGTGGTTAAAAAAACGAGTGTTTCAAAAATATTGACTATATTACTTGATAGCATAAAAATAGACTGGGGGTGGGGAATTCTATGACTTCAACTTTCTCATGCTTTTATTATCTTTTTTTTCAGGAAAAAATGAAAACTCAGTTGAAGAATGGACATTTTACCCAAGCTCTGGTAATCACACTTACCACACAGGGAAAAGATGTTTATTTTATGGTACCCACCTCCGAACTAAGGCTACATCTTCTGAGAGGACACTGGAAAAGTCTATAGGGAGGAAGAAATATGGTATAGCCTCACAAACCTTCTATTTTTTATTAGATAATCATAATAGTTTAAAGTATAGTTGTCATTCCAAGCATTAGAATTAAGTTTTCAAATATCCATATATGGGTTTTCCATGATGAAAAGTAATTGGTAGGATACAAGATATGGCATACTGAGAACCACCGATGCAAACCTTTGGACTAATAAGATTGAGTTCTTTTTTGCAACCAAGCATCAAACCGTTATTAAAAAACTATGAGGCTAATGAACTTCATTCTGAATTATTGATGACATATTATGTTTCATTATTATTTAGCCAAAAGAAGAAATATATTTTCAATTAAATTCACGTGTTATAATATACACATATATACTACTTGTAAAAGAACAGCTTGCTAAATATAAATACAACCAAATTGAAATGTCAGAAAATGTGCCTGCAGCCAGATTCCCTTCTTAACTTCTACTTTTGTTTTTAATACCAGTAGATGAAACGTCCTCCCGAAATGGCATTCCAATGAGGATGCTTGGTGACCATCCATTTGCTGCTCCTGAACAAAGTACAGACTTCCACAAAAAGGGATCAACACTATCTCCAGTTAATTTTGGGAGGCAAGTTCTTATCTGATAGCTTCTTTTTTAAAAAACCAAGTCACTACACTACCTTTGCTTATGGAGGAAGGGAGGCAGAAGAGAGCAGGTCTTGGCGAGGAGAAAGGGGCAGATAAAGAAGCAGGCCTATAAAAATGGAAGTGACATAGGACTCTTCCAATTAATCCAATGAAATATTTGTTGTGACTATTTGTAGTGCTGTTCCTTTTCTATGAAATATATTCAGAACTGACATTACTGTACTCGAAGGGTGTCTCCTACTGATGTGGAGCATATCTGTGACATTTTGGAGGTTCTCTGTGTACAGGTGAATGTTCCCAAGAGCTCTAGAATTGAATGCAAGCAGGAATTGATTAAGCAGGTTTCATAATTGTAACAGAAAGAAGATTATTTATACAAAGTGCATTATAGAGATAAGCAAAGCCTAGCACCTAGTTAACAACCTTCTCCCAGGAGGAAAATCCAAGAGCAAGGATTCTGCCCAAATGTGTCTGGGTACCAAGTCAAAAGGAATTAACCTGTGATTAGTAATCTCTTAGAGAAAGGACAGAGGCAGAGTAACAGACGAAGAGGGGATCTCTCTCTCTCTCTCTCTCTCTCTCTCTCTCTCTCTCTCTCTCTCTCGGTCAGTGATAGCAGAAGCTGAACAGGACAAATGAAGGATCACTTTTGGAAGATACCATTTTTCTGAATTCTGAATGAAAGACCAAATCTGCAAGGATTTCACTTTGTTCAATAATAGGTAAAGCCTATGATGAAGCCACTGTGGTTAGAATGCAGTACTGCAGGCTACTTTTGCTGATTGCCGGTTGCCAACAGTTTGGCAGTTTGAATCTCACCGGCTCAAGGTTGACTCAACCTTCCATCCTTCCAAAGTCAGTAAAATGAGGACCCAGATTGTTGAGGGCAATATACTGACTCTGTAAATGGCTTAGAGAGGGCTGTAAAGCCCTGTGAAGTGGTATACAGGTCTAAATGCTATTGCTATATGAATACAGATTATCCTTCAGATTACTGTAAATTGTTGAAAAGATTTTACAGTTTTGGATGAGCTTTAGTAAGATGTCTAATGAGTCAAATGTTTGCATGTTATGTTCCCTAAGCACTTTGACTGATCTTTGACAACAAAGTATTATTTTTACATAATGGTATTTCTGCAACAAAATGAAATATTTGGGTTATTCTGTATCTCAATTATATATACTTTGTGATATACTGTGAAGAATATAAATAATCATGCAGCAGCATATATTATGCAATCATCTGCATGGGTTTTCAACTGGAGTGAAAGCAAAAAACTTTATGCATAACTATAAATAGAAAATGCTAGGCTCCCAAAACATTAGAAGCAAACTGGAAACTTCATCTTACTGCCAATGCACACAAAAATATAGTTCTTACTTTCCTTCAATTAGCATGAAATATGGATTTTATTTTTGTATATCATTGTTCCATGCTTAGGAAATTGCAAACATTCCTAATACATGTATTGATTATATACTATAATTAAATCAGGGAGTGGCATAACCCTACCCAAAGACCTCTCTACTCAAAATCTTTTGTTTCTTTTTAATAGCTCTAGATATAGAAAACGGTCAGATACCTTTATTCCTCTCCAGCGTTTGCCAATAACTTCTAGGTACGTATCTCATATCTTAAGCAACATTTATTTTCTTCTGTAGGCTTTTATTGTTTATACTTGTATTACTTGTTTCTAGAAGATATCTGCTGTATTATTAGTTCCAATAGATTTTGACATTTTCTACAATATACCATAATGTAATATATAACAACATAAACATAAAACTTCAGTAACATCTCTATTTTTTAATCTTGCTTTGAGTACCTTCTTTGAAGTTCTTTCACAGTAAAGAATTACAAAAGGAAGAAAGTAAATGTGGAACTACCCCGTAATATTTACCGGATTTAAAACTGGCTAAATACATATTGTTTATAATACCGTTGACCCTCGTTTAATGATCACTCGTTCAATTACTGTTCTAACTTACTATAGCACCAAACCAGTGGTAGTTACAATTCGACCTTGTACTTATAGCTGTTGCAGTATCCTGTGGTAACATGATTGCAGTTTGTGACCATCTCTGCCAGCTTGCCGCAAACAAAGTCAATGAGAGGAAGCTGGCTGGAAGTCGGGAATCATGGTCATGTGAGGTCCTCCCTTAACGACCCATGCAGTTCCTTTTTTTACTTTCCTGTTTTTAGCTCCATAGAACATAGAATCATAGAGATGAAGAGACTTTGGAGGACTTCTAGCCCAACCCCCTGGCCAAAGCAGGAGGCTTTATACCATCCCAGACAAATGGTTATCCAATCTTTTCTTGAAAACCTCCAGTGATGAAGCACCCACAACTCCTGGATGTAAGATTGTCCCTCCCCTTGCTCCTCCCCTTTGTAGCTAAAGCCTCTTCCAAAGTCAGAAAGTCATGAATCCAGAAAATAGGTAATACTTACAAAGAATTTGGGCTAATAACACAAGTTTCCAGATTGCAACTGTATTTGGACACTTCTTAAACCCCTTATGCTTGACTATGTAATAAAATGTGTTTTTGAGTTGGCAAATCACATAACATAAAAATATGTGTGCAGATTAGTCCAGAATCATCCCGCACAACTCTAGCCACAGTTTTTGACAATGTATGCTATGGCCAGTCTTATTGCTAGGTTGCTACAGCACACAGGACTGAGGCTGTGACCTTTGGTTGCATTCTGATTAATTCATTGGACTCCCTCAGTTTCGTAGACCAGTCTCTGAGGTTTCTTTACTAAGCATGTACAGGTATTTATATGTAAATAAAATAATAAACAACTAAAATTCTTGTTATCAGTATGGCCAGATACACAGAATATAATGCCATTTTTCGTAAAACTTCATTCTTCAAGAATATCAAGAATACCTCTCTGACAGGTTGCAATCTGTGTTGACAGGGGGGCAGTGGTCGACCCTGAGGCGCCTTGTTTGTGGGGTGCCACAAGGGTCGGTCCTCTCGCCCCTTCTGTTCAACATTTATGTAAAGCCGCTGGGTGAGATCATCCGTGGCTTTGGGGTGGAGTTCCATCAGTACGCTGATGACACTCAGCTGTACATCTCCACCCCAGGCCACCCCAATGATGTCCTTGAAGTGATGTCCCAGTGCCTGGAGGCCGTGCGGGCCTGGATGGGGAGAAACAGGCTCCGACTCAACCCTTCCAAGACCAAGTGGCTGTGGCTTCTGGTGTCCCGATATAGCCAGCTGGTGCCATCACTGGCTATTGGGGGCGAATCACTAGCCCCCACAGAGAGGGCTTGCAACTTAGGCATCCTCCTGGACGCATGGCTGTCTTTAGAAGAGCATATGACGGCCGTGGCCAGGGGGGCTTTTTATCAGGTTCGCCTGATACGCCAGTTGTGTCCCTTTCTGGATCGGGACTCCCTACGCACGGTCACTCAAGCACTCGTCACTTCCCGCCTGGACTACTGCAATGCTCTATACATGGGGCTCCCCTTGGGGTGCACCCGGAGGCTGCAGTTGGTCCAGAACGCGGCCGCGTGGGAGATTATGGGAGCGACGGGGCGCTCACATATAACACCTCTCCTGCGCGAGCTGCACTGGCTTCCTGTGGTCTTCCGGGTGCACTTCAAGGTGTTGGTGACCACCTTTAAAACGCTCCATGGCTTAGGGCCGGGGTATTTGCGAGACTGCCTTCTGCCGCCAATAGCCTCCCACCGACCGGTTCGCTCTCACAGAGAGGGCCTCCTCAGGGTGCCGTCGGCCAGGCAGTGCCGGCTGGCGACCCCCAGGGGGAGAGCCTTCTCTGTGGCAGCACCTGCCCTCTGGAATGACCTGCCCCCTGAGATACGCACGATATCAGACCTCCGGACTTTTCGTCGGGCCCTGAAGACACACTTGTTCCATCTAGCTGGGCTGGCTTGATCCCATCCTCTCAGTTTTTTAATCGAATTTCGGTTTTAATTGGGTTGTTTTAAATTCGGGCCAAAATTATTTAATTGTTTTTTTAAAATGTTTTTAAATTTTATACGCTATGTTTTATCCTGGCTGTACACCGCCCTGAGTCCCGCAGGAGAAGGGCGGTATAGAAATATAATAAAATAAATAAATAAAAATAAATATTAAAACTGGCATAAGCACTTTTCTAGACAATGTAAAGTATTTAAGTACATTTAGGGATTATTGATGGAAAGAACTAGCCTAATCAGATTTAAACTGGGCAGGAAGATTTTTTAAAAATGATTTCTCCAAGTTCAGCCTTACTGTATTCTTATTCTTCCATCATGCCACTAGAGGGCAACAGAGTTGATTATCTCCCTCTACACCTCACTCTAAGTAAAAATGCAGCCATCTAAATTCCATTGATTTTTGGTCCTAATAGTAGTAGCCATCCTGCTGCTAATTAGTTGGGGAAAATAGTTTGGGGGAAGATATATCTGGAAAGGGGATAATTTTAAAGGTCTTTCTTGTTTGCCCCTAATCACCAGGTAACAATTCCTGCCTTGTTCTACTGATACTGCCTTCATGGAATCTCCAGCACCTCTGTGGGGCAGCTTAAAACTTAAATAGCATTTCCCCTCTTCTAAAGTTTTTCGGTATCAAACTTGACATACTTTGTTGACAATTGCTGATCCCTTTTAGCCCCTTTAGGCTGCTGTGGACATAGCCCAGTGGTGAAATTCAAAATTTTTTATTACCGGTTCTGTGGACGTAATTTGGTAGGCGTGGTGTGGCTTGGTGGGCATGGCAGGGGAAGGATACTGCAAAATCCCCAATCCTTCCCCACTCCTGGGGGAAGGATATTGCAAAATCTCCATTCCCACCCCACTCTGGGGCCAGCCAGAGATGGTATTTGCCGGTTCTCCGAACTACTCAAAATTTCTACTACCGGTTCTCCAGAACCTGTCAAAACCTGCTGGATTTCACGCCTGACATAGACCCTGCCTCTCTAGCCATGGGGCACTGCCCTCTGTAGCCATTTTTTTTTTTACTGTTGGATGGATTGGACACCTGGCTTCTCCAAAACAGCATTTTCTATAGTTCCTGTTAGATCTTATTTTCAGCCTACAAAGTAGACCAGACTGAGAAATCAAAGCCATGTAGATTAGGACTATGGTTTATTGTAAAGCTATAGAACAGAATCTTGCAAATCTGAATGCGGTTCCCCCTCCCTCACTTTATCTTTGTGTGAGTTAAGGAGGGGCTTATTGAAGATGCTTTCTCAAATTAGTTTCTTGACCCAGGCTCAAGTCCCTCTTAATTGATCATTGCCTTGGCTGCAACTCTTCCTCCTGTTTTTTGAGGTTATTCCTGGGTTGTGCTGAGAGACTGACTGGCCTGAAGTAACCCAACTGGCTTTCATGGCTAAAATGAGATTAGAACTCATTTATTTGCTTTCTAGCCAGCACCTTCAGCACTCCACCAACTGACCATCTTTTTTGACCATATTCTGAAAATACTCCTGGGCCAGGCACTATTTTTCTAATTGCACTCTGATTATGATTTTTATGAGTCACTGCAATCACTATTTTGCAATTCTGGAAGATTGCTATAGTGTATCTTCTGTGGTTATTGATAGTCACGAGGTCAGAATTGGACTGGCTGTTACTCACTCCAAGCATTGCTGGTCCTTTGCAGTATTGTAGTAACCTTGCCTGGAGCTTTTGTTGTTGTTGTTAGTCATGAAGTCGTGTCCGACCCATCACAACCCCATGGACAAAGTTTGCCTGGAACTTCCTTATTACCAAACGCTCCTTCCCCTTCATCTCTTCAGCCCTTGGCTACCAAGAGCCCAATAACCTGTTTATGCAAACTCAAGTTTGCAGCACTTTCAGAAATAGCTGGATGGATAACAGGCACAGAAGAGGAGTTACGTCGAGTAGGATCATCCCCCCCATCCACCCTTAGTGCCATGTCACCTGCTATTCTCAGAATCTAACTAAAGTAAATTCCCCCTCCTCCTCCCCATTAAGAAGAGCAATAGATGATTGTTCTGCTAGCAAATAATGCCTGATGATGGCAACGTTGGAGGTGAGGAACTGGCAGCACAAGTTATTCCAGCAGACTTTTCTGTTGAGTCCATGACCTGAATCAGAAAAATATATTAGCAAAGAACACCTGAGCAGAAGGGGAGAATAACAGAAGGGAATGCAGGAAAAGTAAATCCGTTTCTCTTCGGTTCATTGCTGATCAGCTGAACAGTGCTGAAAGTGGTTTATCCCTTGCCTTGCCTTCAGCTCAGAGCAAGACTGACCTTCTCCCACGTGCCTGCCCTTCTACTGTATCTTAATGCAAAAAGGGATTTTCCTCAAGGCATGGCCCTTCCCCTCAGTGGATTGGAAGAGATCTGTAGCCACAGCCTCCCTGCTCTGTGACTCAGGGATAGGGATGTTGCAAATTGTGAAAAGTTAGACAACGTTTGTTGGTTGCCCACCCTGGAATTAGCTGCATCTCTTGGAAAGCCTACTTTGAGCCAATACAATGTCAAACTGAGATATGGCTTTGGAAATTTAACTGAACTGATTGGAAAATTGTTTTACTTTTTAAAATTTGTTCCATCCATATGGCTGCTCATCTCAAACTTGTGAATCTGGGAAACTAACAGCATTTTTTTAAAAAATGGAAAAAAGCAACAAAATAAATAGACAATTGGCAGCTGAGTCAGAAACAACAAGGATAAAAAGCAACCATCCATATAAATATAACATTTTAAATTAAATTAGTTCACAGGCTTTTTTGGGCACTCTGGCTTCATGTGCATACACAAAGATTTGTGTACTGTAATGGGCACACATCCAGGGGTTGTGTTCAAAAATTTTAGCAAGGGGTTCTCTGCCTGGTTGCTGGGTGAGCAAGGCCATGGTGGGCGTGGCCTAGTCAGCCTTCTTCACCATGGGGGGGGGCATTTTTACCTTCCCCGGGCTCTGGAGGCTTTTTTTGAGCCTCTAGGAGGGTGAAAACGGCCTCCCCAGGCTCCGGAGTCCCTCTGGAGGCTTCCAGAACTTCCGGTAGGCCCATTTTTCACCCTTCCTGAGCCTCTGCATGTGCCCTGCACTTACCTGCATTCAAAACCGGCTGCGTGGGGACTCCTGGGAGGGGAGGGGCGGGGTAGGCGGGGCCAGCCAGAAGTGGGATTTGGGGATTCTCCGAACTGCACAAAATCTTAGCTAGAGGTTCTCCCAAATCCCTGCGAATCCCCAGCAGCCTACCCCTGCACACATCTCTCTTTATGAGCACATTGTTTGTGCATTCACTTATTTTATTTATTTTATTTTATTTATTTGATTTGTATACCGCCCTACTCCCGAAGGACTCAGGGCGGTGAACAGCCAACAATAAAATACATAAATACACAAAATTTAAAAACCCGATAAAATCAAATTAAACTTTTTGGCCCAGACAAATTAAAATACCCCAATAATTTAAAAACAGATTAAAATTTACATATTTAAAAAGGGAAGAGATCAGGCCAAGCCCGCTTGATGGAATAAAAAGGTCTTCACAGCATGGCGGAAGGAGCGCAGATCCGGGATCCTCCGTATCTCCGGGGGGAGCTCATTCCAGATGGTAGGTGCCCCCACAGAGAAGGCTCTCCCCCTAGGGGCCGCCAGTCGACACTGTTTGGCTGACGGCACCCGGAGGAGTCCCTCTCTATGAGAGCGTACTGGCCGGTGGGAGGCTATTGGTGGTAGTAGGCGGTCCCGTAAATAACCAGGCCCTAAGCCATGGAGCGCTTTAAAGGTGGTAACCAAAACCTTGAAGCGCACCCGGAAGACCACCGGGAGCCAGTGCAGCTCGCGCAGGAGAGGTGTTACATGGGAGCGCCATGTCGCTCCCATTACCACCCGCGAGGCCGCACTCTGCGCCAGTTGGAGCCTCCGGGTGCTCCTCAAGGGGAGCCCCATGTAGAGAGCATTACAATAGTCCAGGCGGGAGGTGACGAGGGCATGAGTGACCGTGCGTAACGAGTCCCGATCCAGAAAGGGACGCAACTTATGTTTTCCTTGAACAAATATATTTAACTGATGTATTTAACTGAAGCTGATGTAGAGACATCCTGTTTGTTTCAGGGCTGAATCTACTTACTCAGTTAAGCTTGTGATTATTGGGCTGCAATTACTCTATGTTTCTTTCTCATCTTGCTCTCCAGTGTACCTTTCCATGTAAAAGAGAAAGAACTAGAATTAGAGAGAGAAAAGATGGAAGTGCAGAATCTGGAAACCTGGAGACCTAGCCCAAGTTTGATGCAATCGTTACTTGAGAGTGGACAGGCCAGGAAGCTAACTTTTTCATAACTGAAGAATGGAAGGCAAGCTTGGTCCAAAAGTTCTGATTTTGCATATCGTAAGTTGTAGGACATATTTGTGAATACATCTCCTAGAAATTCTTGCCAAACTGATATGACCACATTTTGAATAGTTGCAGAAAGTTAGCTGTTTCTGTGCACTATGTTTTTTATAGTTGCTTCTGCACTAAATGGATGAATGAATAAATTAACAAATAGAAAATTTAATAAAACATATTTAGTTCATTTATTTCAATAGTTATGATTTTATGAAAGAAGAATAAAGTTAAATGCCTTTTCTCAAGGTTCTTACACTGCAACTTCTTCACCCTGCCTGTTCAGCAAAGCCATAGAGATCAAGGGGTTATCAGGATTCTCTGTAGTTTTGCTCGTAGACTTGGTCATGCTAAGTAAGATACCCATGTATCACAAAGAATGCAATAAGACAAAGCAAGGAAGTTTATTATAACCTCTGGTTGCAATAGATTAATAATAAAAGAAGAGAGAACTTGAAATATAAAATGTAAATATGCAGAACTGGGATTAAAACCTGCGGATAGTATTATGTCTATTCTTTATAACCAGAAACTCTGACATAATAGAGATTAGAGTAGCAACCTACTACACTAGTAAACGGAACTTGATTTCAAGACAAAAATTCAGACAGACCTTGCTGTCTTCATCAGGACAGGAACAAAATGCATTAAGGAACAATTAAAGAAAGGGAAGACTGCAAAAACTGTCACAAGTAAATGCCTTATTCTCCAATATGTAAATAGTATATGAACGGGATATCAGGGGTTAATTTATTCTTCACTTCTTAATGTATTCATACTTCACCACTCCCATATCTAGCTCCACCCATTGTATATATAAGGAGCTGCACGCACTCATTCTTTGCTTCTATCTGTGAATATTCAGTGAATATAGAATGCCTTGTGTAAATAAAGAGAGATATATTTGAACTATTAATTCTTAAATGATTTATTGAGTCTGATCCTGAAAACATTGCAACAAGCTGGTAGCAGAGGATGGTTGAATTGACTCAATAAAAACTTAAATATGTCTAAGAGAGATAGGCCCAACACCAGGGCATACAGCAAAGAAATGGAAACGGATCAAGAAATAATCGATGAGTCCACAAATGCGATTTCGAGAGAATCTGAAGAATACACCACTGAAGACGAAGAAACAATAAATGAAAATGATGACCGAGAGGAAAACAAAATAGAAAACAACGAACTCAGGTCAGAGATATTAAAACTGTTAAAAAGCCAGAAGAACGATGAAAGCCTCATCGTGAACCTCCAAGATATGCTGAAAAACAGCGGAGCAGCGAGAGAGAAGCACATCGCTACTGAAAAGCCAAAAGATTCAAAAATAGTGAGTGATACGATTACAGAGAAAAACGCTGTGAAGAAGAAAAACGGTGATCCCGCGCAAAATTTCGAATGGCAGCCATCTTGGTTTCAACAGACCTCCAGGGTGAGCGAAGCAGAGCCAATCAGAAAACTTGATTCAAAATTTCTGGCGCGAAAGACATTACTAGATAACGAAAATGAAAAAGAAAAGTCAAACACCTCAGAAGGATCAGAATCGGAAAGTGAAGGTGATCCAACAGACACACAAATAAAGTCAGCAATGAAAACGCTTTTTGCTGCATTTGGACCGAAACTAAAGATTACCAAAAAATCAACTAGAAAGCAAGCGAGCAAACCAATGCCTCAAAATCTACCCGCTCCCATCCTGACGACGAGAGCACTGACGCCTGAACCCAGAGAGCCCTGCAGATACCGCCCCACACCGCAGATCGATGCAAGCACCAACGCTCTCAAGAGAAGAAAAAGAACAACTGCCATCGTCAGGACTCCCAAGATCGAGCCGGAGACCGATTCATCTGAGGAGGAGCAGAGCGAGCGAGCCGCAACGACGAGAACCTCTCACGACGACTCCAGGAATGAAATGAGCAACGCGCATGCGCAGGACTACGCAGACGGTCCAGGAAGACATGAGTTGCTGAAAGGATCGTGCAGACTCGTTGCGAGCATCCCCACGCCGTTTTGTAATTTCCAGCATTTACGAGACCACGGACTACCCCCGGTTGTAAGTAATGGACCCAATAATGTCGGAAACTTGCCCAGTGACTTCCCAAAGCTGAGAATAGATGGCATTAATTTACAAGAATGGTATCAGCAGTTCCAGGTTGTCTTTATGAAAGAAAACTTACTGTTTTTTATCACTAATCCCCCAAAAAGACCTTGGACTCTAAAGTTAGACTGCTTACACCATAGAACATTTTTCTTATTAATTTCTAGTGTATCTCCTGCAATGTATCACAGCATTAAGCAAAATCTGACTGTCTCAGAAATTATTCAATGCATGTTCAATTTATTTCACAGTGATAGTGTAGCTACTACCACAAGAATGTCTAAAGATTTCTTTTCTTCTAGGATAAAACCAGGGGTTTCCATAAGTGAACATTTAATATCTTTAAACAAAATTAGAGCTGAACTGCATTTAAGGGGGGAGGTGATTTCAGACCAAACGATGAAAAGTGTTATCATCAACTCACTTGACTCATCATGGGATAATTATATGTCACATTTAGACACAATCAATCTAGGATACTTATCCATAGAAAGTCTATCCAATAAGTTAATAGCTGAAGACAATTCAAGGAGGAGCCGCTCTAACAACCACATAGAACACAAACCATATAGAAAGGTAGCTTTTCAAGAAAGATATCATGAAACATTTAAATGCCACAACTGTGGATCCAAGGAACACAATAGGAGAGATTGCCCCAAAATTCCAAAAGAAAGACATAGGTCAGAACACAGGAATAAATACAACTATAGACAGTCTTCCATTGATAGACATAGATATAGAAGCCCACCAAATTATAAAGAGCATAGAGGGGGCAGAGATAATTCAAAGGATAGAAAATCTGGTTCACTGAATGGACTAAACAAACAAGACAACACTAACATACAGCAAACTGAGAACAATAATTGGCTTATTGATTCTGGAGCAACTAATCATACCACTAATAATAAAAGTATATTATCTTCATTTGTAGAAGATAAATTTGTAATAAAGGTAGCTAACCAAGAAAAGGTCCAAGTAATAGGTAGAGGAAATGTAACCTTACCTGGCCTAGGAAAAATAGAGGGGGTATTACTAATACCTGAAATACCTCATAACATACTAAGTGCCATAAAACTAAGCAGAGATTCTGATATTAATATTGTGTTTTCAAAAGGAAAAGCGACTTTGGAGAAAAATAAAATAGATATAGGTACAGTAATGATTAAAGGAGGCCTACCTTATTTAATAACAAAGGAGAAATGGTTACACAACATTGATTCAAATATGGAAGATTGTATTGAACTAGATAATGGAAACATTAGTAACAGTGACAATGATGAATGTAAAGTAGCTCATAATCACAAGGATGCACATAATGAGAAAAAACCAAAAATAGGTAAGCCAATTCATGATGAGTGTGCTCATGTTTTACATAGGAAGTTAGGACATGCCAGTTTTCCTGTAGTACAAAAAATGACTGAACACGCAGAAGGTGTTAAAATAAAAAATTGTGAAAACTATTTGGAATGCTCAGTATGTAAGTCTACAAAACTCAAAACTAGTCCCAGGCCTAGAAAATCAACAAGGTCAACCAACAAAATTTTTGATTTAGTACACATGGACCTGGTTGGTCCACTAACTCCATCAATCACTTATAAAAAACGTTACTTCTTAACCATTGTGGACGATTATAGTCGTTATGGATTTGTTTACACATTAAAACATAAAGATGAAACTTTTCAGAAATTTAAAGAATTTTACAAACGCGTAGAAACTCAACACAATATCAAAATAAAACAAATCATGACAGATAGGGGATGTGAATTCATGTCTAAGGAATTCTCCCAATGGCTGAAGGACAAAGGAATGTTACATTACACATCTAGCCCATTTTCTGCATTCCAAAACGGAATTGCAGAGAGAAAGAACTCAACATTACAAACCATGATTAGATGCACATTGGAAGATGCTGGCTTAAGCAAACAATTCTGGTCAGAAGCCCTACAATATTCCAATTACACACAAAATAGAACTTGGTCCAGCATTGTAAATAAGACACCATATGAAGTGATGTATGATAGGAAACCAAAATTAGCACACATGCACATATTTGGAGTCACTGCAGACGTACACATACCTAAACAATTAAGAAGAAAAGGAGAAAATGTGTCTAGAAGACTTAGATTTATGGGATATGAGACAGGTACAAAAGGATACAGATTCATTGATAATAATAACAAATTTATAGTTTCCAGAACAGCTGTGTTCCATGAACAGGCCAACTGGTCTAAAATACATCTTAATGAAATATTCCCAAGCAACAACACAGATACAAAACCCCAAGAAAAAAGAACTATAGAAAAGCAAAATGACAACAAACATAGAAACAAAACCAAAACATGGACAAACAGTCAACACAAAATAAAGACAGATACATTAACAAAAAAGGAAGCAAGATATTTGCATGATAATAATAGTAAACCTGAAAAAACAATTAGAAACACCAGAAATCAAATGCCAAATAAGTACAAGGATTATATAATGCATATGAACGGAGAATCAACGACACCTAATACATATGAGGAAGTGTTAAAACTTCCTCCTAAAGAAAAAGAAAAATGGGAATTAGCAATGACAAAAGAGATGGAAAGTTTACAAGGATTAGATGTATTTACACCTGCAATTGCACCAAAAGACAAAACTATTATTGGCACTAGGTGGATATATAAAATTAAAAATTTAGAGGGAGGCAATACTCTATACAAGGCTAGATTAGTTGCACAAGGTTATGCACAGAAATATCCCGAGGATTATACTGACACATACTCCCCCACAGTAAGAACTGAGAGTGTCAAAACAGCTCTAGTTGTAGCATCAGCACTCAATCTCGATGTATTCCAATATGACATACAGACTGCGTATTTACACGCAAAATTAGATAAGGAAATATATGTAAGAGCACCTCACAGTCAATACACAAACAAGAATGAGACTTGGTTATTAAACAAAAGTTTATACGGGTTAAAACAATCTGGTAAACGATGGTATGATTGTTTAGTAAAAGTACTTAAAACTATGGATTTCAGTGCTACTACTGCTGATAACTGTTTCTTTGTTAAAAAGGGTGATGATTACATAGAATTTGTATTGATCTATGTGGAT